TGATACCTAACATTAACAAGTACCTAAAAATTACTATCAGATTGTACTGAATCTGTTGTGCCTAAAAAGTCACGCTAATATCAGTTCAACAAGTACCTAAAAGACAAAGTGTATTAGCTGCCAAGCCCATATTGCCTCAAAGATATTTATACCAACCCTATCTTATTTTAAGAGATGGACGGATGAGAGCTCTCTATGTGTTAAGACAACTTGCAAAACACTCATTACATTGACCTCAAAGGTGTATAAATGGGCACCTCTCTTCATGAAAAAAGGGGGTTGGGCAAATAAGAGTTGGGCATAGATTTGAGCTTCATTTCATTACTTTTTCTCTGTAAACAAAGCTTTTCTCCATTCTTTGTACGCCTTACAGGCAATATCATAGAAATAATTAAAGAATAATACAACCACAGTGGACGTAGGATTTGCTTTAAGCATCCAAACTACTATAAAAACCTCTCTTGTCTATCTATTATTTATGTTTTCTGCAAACATATATAATCTCAACACAATATTCAAATCTCATGAATCCATCACGTGTAATTTCTAAAACTCTCTTAGCATTTTGCACGTGCGAGTCGTTGGTGTCAAAATCAAGCATCAACAGTTTGGTGGCCCATGCAGGTCTCGAACCTGCGTCCAAGCTCTCGGATCGTGTGGTCAGATCGTAGATCGCACGCATCAAAGCTCTCGAATCTCGTGGCTAGATCGTAGATCGCACACATCAAAGCTCTCGAATCTCATGGCCGGATCGCAGATCACACACATAAGAGTTCTTGGATCGCACGGTCATATCGCAGATCGCACATATTGGAGCCCTCAGATTGCGAGGCAAATCGCAGATCACACACATTAGAGCTCTTGGATTGCATGGTCAGATCGCAGATCGCATGCATTAGAGTTCTCAGATCGCGTGGCCAAATTGCAGATCGCACGCATCAAAGTTCTCAAATCGCGTGGTCAGATCGTACGTGTAAGAGTTCTCCTATTGCGTGGTCAGATCGCAGATCACACGCATCAGAGTTCTTCGATGGCGTGGTCAGATCGCAGATCACATGCATCAGAGTTCTTGGATGGCGTGGTCAGATCGCAGATCGCATGCATCAGAGCTCTCAGATTGTGTGGCCAGATCATAAATCGCACACATTAGAGTTCTCAGATCGCGTGGCCAGATCACATATTGCACGCATCAGAGTTCTCAGATCGCATGGTCAGATCACAAATCGCATGCATCAGAGCTCTCCAATCGCATCGTCAGATCGCAGATCGTATGCTCAGATCATCTAGATTGTGCGTTCAAGATCATTGAGATCACGTGTTCAGATCGCTTAGATTGCATGGTCAGATCGCACGCTCAGATCATCTAGATCGCGTATTCAAGATCGATGAGATCACACGTTCAGATAATTTAGATCGCGCTTCCGAGCGCCTAGATCGCTGATCTCGAGTTCTCATATTAAGCTCTGCACTTTCTGATCAAATTTCTTCTGTTCTCAGATTAAGTTCCACGCTTTCTGATCAAACTTCTTGTTCTCAGATCAAGCTTCGCGCTTTCTGATCGAACTCTTTCTGTTTTCTTATTGAACTCCTTAAGCTCTCAGATTGTAAAGAGCTCTCCGAGTTTTCAGATCAAGCTCCTTATGATCTTAGATCGAGCTCTTTATGATTTCAGATGGAGATCTTATGATCTCAGATCGAGCTATTTATGATCTCAAATCGAGCTCTTTATGATTTCAGATCGAGCTCTTTATGATCTTAGATCGAGATCTTTATGATCTCAGATTGAGCTCCTTATGCTCTCAGATCGACCTCCTTATGCTCTCTGATTGAGCTCATAAGCTCGCTCGTTTACTTGAGATCGTGTGCATTAGATCGTTCAAATCGCAAGCCTCAAACTGTCAGGTCAAGCTCCTATCAGATCGTGATCAACTCCTAACTCTCAAATCACGATTAGCTCCTCGCTTTGAGATTGCGAACAGCCTCAAGTCGTGTTCTCAGCTCTCAGATTGCGATCAGTTCTCAGTAATCAGATCGTGACCATCTACCAGAGTTAGAAAAACCACGTAGAAAACTCAAAACAGCCCTGAAACATGCCGAAACAGTGGATTTTGGCCCTGAAAATGGCCCTAATTGGGTTCCCGATTACCACAATGCAAAGCTCAGAACAGACTTTACGTGGATATCTTACGGGCTCTAAAACTCCTCCCGGATAAAAAATTATGGCTGTTTTAAGTTGGCTTATCCGTTTAAGGCCTCTAAGCTGTGCGTTTGGGCTTTTGACGTTAGCGCCCTCCAAGAATTCATTTACTGGACATTTCATGTCAGTTATCAAATCGTGCTCAGCTTCGGATCACTCCAAGCTCTCAGATCGAAATCCTAGCTCTCAACACCCGATCGCGCCAGGCATAGTTTAAGCTCTTCAATTTGAGACTGTAGCCTATAGTGCGACAACCATTCAGATCAAAGACCTGAGTTTTTGAAGCGTGATTATGCACTCTAAAAACTGGGGGGTTCTGTTGTGCCTAAAAAGTCACACTGATGTCAGCTCAACAAGTGCCTAAAAGACAAAGTGTACTAGCTGTCAAGCCCATACCGCCTCAAAGATATTTATACCAACCCTATCTCATTTTAAGAGATGAACGGATGAGAGCTCTCCATGTGTCAAGGCAACTTGCAAAACACTTATTACATTGACCTCAAAGGTGTATAAATGGGCACCTCTCTTCATGAAAAAAAGGGGGCTGGGCAGATAAGAGTTTGACATAGATTTGAGCTTCATTTCATTATTTTTTCTCTGTAAAGAAAGTTTTTCTCCATTCTTTGTACGCCTTACAGTCAATATCATAGAAATAATCAGAGAATAATACAACCACAGTGAATGTAGGATTTGCTTTAAGCATCCGAACCACTATAAAAACTTCTCTTGTCTATCTATTATTTATGTTTTCTGCAAATATATATAATCTTAGCACCATATTCAAATCTCATGAATCCATCATGTGTAATTTCTAAGACTTTCTTAGTACTTTGCACGTGCGAATTGTTGGTGTCAAAATAAAGCATCAATAGAATCTTACGTACTTAAACCCTTAAAACTTGGAGTTATTTGAAGGGTTTAACTATTTTTAAAAGAGTAATGCTACTATATATTGGATTCAAATCTATTTCTAACAAACTAATATGCAATCCCACATAATAATTAATGTATATCTATATAATTATTAAAAACTCCAAATATTATAAAAAAATTGCTCAAAGCTCTTAATACTTATTACGATCTCTTGTAAGTGAATAAAATTTACCTTATCTTTTTTTTTATTTATGATTGCCAAAATAGTTTTTCTTAAACATCATTTTTATTAAAAATACAAATAAATGTACTTGAAATTCAAATTGAACTACCGTGGTTGAGTGGTTCGATAAGAACTATTGGGTGTATTACAAAGAGGTCTTGAGTTTGAGTCTCTCCTTGGTTGCTAATAGGGGTAGCCACTAGAGCTCCTACCCGTCGGTAGTTCCAGGGTCCTAAGAGATTAAATCAGGTGCGCGTAAACTGGTCCGACTACTCCCTATCATTAAAAAAAAAAAAAAAATTGAAATTGAACCGAAGAGGTTATTAATATTCGTGAAAGCTCCCATACTCACAAGATTGATCAAAGATCTAAAAGAATAGAAGAAGATGATTTATTTGAATATTTTCATCTTTATAATGTTTTGATGGACGACAATTTACACTAATCAAAGAACAATAAAATTTCCTTATTTTTTGTCCTAATTATTTAGTCATGAAATATATTTTACAAGGAGTATTTTATGACAACTTTAAATCACTTTTAAATTTTAAATTTACAGAAATATCAACAGCATGATATTAATTTTTTTTTTTTTTTTATATTTCAAATTCAAATCTAAGAGATGCAATGCATAATGCATATACAAATATTAGAATAATATTTACTATTAAGATGAATATCATATACACCTCGAAGGTTTATCGTCAGATTAGGCTCACCCTAGTCCTAGTGATAAAAATATCAAAGAAACAAATCATGAAAGAATTGGCCACTCATCCGTCAAATCATATGTATATTAACCAATTTATCAAAATTCTGAATCTCATAGGATGGGCACAGGCCGGATCAGGGCTAGATCAGGGCCTTGTTCCTTGTCCCCGATCTCCACTCCCATGTCTGTCGTCAGGGTCAAGGACAACTCTCATGACCATAGTCGGTTTGGGGGATAGAGTCACTCCCATATTAATTTTTCATAGAATTAATATAATTATATCTAATTTTAACATACTTTACTGGGTAAATTGATTAATTATTCAATTGCATGGAGGCTTAGGCTTAGTTAGCCCTATTAGTTAATTAATTGTTCAAAAAATTAATATAATTATACTCAATCGTAACGTAATTTACAATGTAAATTGATTAATTATTCAATTGTATGTGTGTTTAGGGCCTTAGGCTTAGTTAATTAATTAATTTTTCATAGAATTAATATAACTATATTCAATTTTAACATAATTTACTAGGTAAATTGATTAATTAATTATAAAGTACTATCTCCACTACAACTAATAAAATTAGTTAGTTTGTGAAAGGGACAAATCCTATTATCCCCAGTTCCCGACATTGATTAAATTTAACATCATAATTGATTGATTAATTAATTAATTAAAAGGATAACTGTATTTCTGTAATTCGTAAGTCGTTAACGGTAAGTAATTGTGTATATTCTTATATGTAAATTGTAATAATCTAATCAAATTTATTTTTGAGACATGTATTATTATTTTGTGAAATTCACAAAATAAAAATATATATATTTAATTATTAGACTTCTTTATTTAAATTATTTTTTTTATAAATTTAATATAAATATTATAAAAATAAATATATTACTTAATTAAAACCATGATTTAAACTCTAACTTTATTTATATACAATCTTGTAAAGGAAATAAAAAAACGTAAAAATTCGTAATAAAAGAACAATATGCGGGGCGGGTCTTTGAAAGACTCGAAACGGGCGAAGAAGAAGGAAACGGGTGCGGATCCGGATGATGAGGATAAGAAAAAGTCGGGAGAGGATAAGAAGAAGCAATTTTTTCAAAGGGTATGGAGCGAGGAGGATGAAATTGCTGTATTGAAGGGGTTGATTGCCTTCACCACGAAAAAAGGGATGGACCCGTATCAAGATACGAATGCTTTTCATGATTTTATCAAGAAATCGCTTCACGTGGATCTTACAAGAACTCAATTGATGGACAAGATTAGGAGATTGAAGAAGAAGTATGAGAACAATCTTGGCAGAGGGAATAAAGGTGAAGATAGGAATGTTTCGAAGCTCCATGAACGACACGCTTATGATTTGTCTAAAAAGCTATGGGGCAATGGAAGTACTAGTGCTGTCCTTGAATTGGCGGAAAACATAACGCATAAGCCAAAAAGAATCAAAACCAGAAAGAGAGTAGTGAGTCGTTAGCTCTTTTCAAAGCTGAGTTGAATGATGGAGCTAAGATGGATATTGATAATGATAAGAGAGGGAGCCTGAACAGTGAAAAAGAGATGCTTTTGTTTGATAAGAGTGTTGGGATGGCTGGTTTGGAGGAGTTTGTAATCAACCAAGGTTTACATATGATTGGAGGAGCCAAAAAAGCGGAAGTGGAGGAAAGGTGGAAGAAGCTGCAGATTGCTCAGTTGCAATTGTTTCTGGAGTGGAATGATTTGATTAAGGAACAGACTAAGTTGATTTTGGAGGCCATGAAATCATCCAGTCATTAGGTTGTTGGTTGTTTCGTGGTATAATTTATGCTTTGTGTGGTGGTGGATTTGAGAGTGACTAATTAAGCTATTAATGTTTTGTGTTTGGTGTTAGCCAATTGTGGAATTCTGTGATATTTGTGATTATATTATTCTCTTGAAAGGAGGGTAGTTTAAACTTCTTCTAGCCTCATAAATATGTTTAATGTTTATGACTTTGCTTATTTTGGTTTAATCACAAATTTATAGAAATATCAACTGCATGATATTAAATTTTTTATATATTTCAAATTCAAATCTAGGAGATGCATTGCATTATGTATATACAAATATTAGAATAATATTTACCATTAAGATGAGTATCATATACACCTTGAAGGTTTATCGTAAGATTAGTCTCAACCTAGTCTAGGGATGGAAAAAACTGGTTGACCGAATCGGTTAACCGAAAATTTGAACCGAACTGGTTTTCGGTTCAAAAAAATGATTGAACCGAAACCAATTCTGTTTCAATTAAAAACCGGTTATGAATCGAACCAAAAATTCGGTTCGGTTAACTGGTTTTAAACCGGTTAAATATTGGATTGCATTTTTTAGCCCAATTATGAATTATGGGCTGCTTTTTTCGGCCCAATTCGGTCACACTTCACTTTGGCCCTTTTTTTTTTTTCAATTTTTTTTTTTTTACTTGAATTAAAATTATGCTTTACCAAACAATGAAGAAGAAGAAGGCTGAAGTCCAATCATGGTGTTCTCTTCTCGCTTCTTATCCAAATCTAAACAGAAAAGCAATGAAAGAGAAGAAATGGAGAAGACGAAAAAGAAAAAAAAAACAGAAAAGTGAAAGGAGAAGAAGATGAAAAAGAAAAGGAAAAGTGGAGAAGGAGACGAAGAGAAGAAGACGAAAAAGAAAGAGAAATTGGTGAAGGAGAGGAAGAGAAGAAGACGAAAATGTGAAGAAAAACTGAAAAAAGAAAGAGAAAGCAGTGAAAGGAGAAAGAAGACGAAGAAAGATAAAATAGTGAAAGATAAAAAAGTTGGTGAAGGAGAGGAAGAGAAGAAGACGAAAATGTGAAGAAAAACTGAAAAAAGAAAGAGAAAGCAGTAAAAGGAGAAAGAAGAAGAAGAAAGAAAAAATAGTAGCAGACTGCAGGTCTGCGTAGCCAATACCAAGAAAAGGGGGGGAAAAAATAAGGGATATTTTGATTTTTTTTATTTTTTTCAAAACCGGTTTCGTTAACCGGTTTAATATTATCCTTAAATTGTTAACCTAACCAGAAATTCGGTTTAATTATTTTTGAAAACCGAAACCAAACTAGGTAATTTGAAAAACTGATTTTTTTGTTCGGTTTCGATCCAGTTTTTTGGTTCGGTTGGGTTTTTGATTCTTTTTTCCCAGCCTTGGCCTAGTCCTACTAGTAATAAAAATATCGAAGAAATAAATCCTAAAAGAATTGGCCACTCATCCATCAAATCATCTATATATTAACCTATTTCTCAAAATTCTTAATCTCACAGGGATGGGCACGGGCTGGGTTAGGGCCCTATTCCCTGTCCCCGATCTCCACTCCCATGCCCATCCTTGAGGTTGGAGACAACTCTCATGATCGTCTCTGACCCGTGGGGATGGAGTCACTCCCATATTAATTTTTCATAGAATTAATATAATTATATCTAATCTTAACATGCCCTTGACCTAGCCCCGACCAGACCCTGACCTGGCCCGCGCCCATCCCTAAAATCTCAGAGCTCATAAAACTCTTCAACTTTACATTTTTTAAATAATCTCACCAGCACTGATATGATGATAATCGAAACTGCAACAATTAACATCCCTTTCCTTCAAATTCTTGTAAACAAATATCATTAAATAATTAAACACACACACACACACATATATATAGAGTAAAACCTCTATATAGTGATACTCTATATAGGAATAAACTCTACATAATCATAAAAAATTCTAGTCCCAATTTGGGATAGTTATAAATAAGAATAAATTCTATATTGTAATAAGTTATAATTTTTCTAATTTTCGCCTTAAGGAAAGTTGCCTCTACATAGTAATAATTATCTGTATCTTACAAAAAAATATATGTTATGTAAAATTAAAGGTTTAAAATGAAATAAAATATTTATTTAAAATTGTTTGGGACAATGATTTATATTTTAGAGTTGTTATCACATCTTTTACCTTACGAGTACGTAATAGCTCGTTAGCATGTATACTTTTTTGTTGAAGCCAAAATATTTTTAGTCTCTCAAGCATTTTTAGAGCTTCATGACACAAGATTTTTTGTGTTTCCATACTATTATCTTTAGGATTATTTCATTTCTCTTCTTGTCTAATTGCAACAATGATTTCTCCTTTGGTTAAAGTATACACGATTTGTTGCTCATTTGGATAATTGAAGAAGACATTTTTATCCATTCGATTAGTATAGTGAATCTGTCGGATCTGATCACTCAATTCTATATTGACTCTTTTATTCTCTTCATCCACTTCATTTGTAACTTACAATTCATTGGTATTAGTGCTCCTAATTTTGCAGTGCTTAAAACCATTGACAATTGTCTGTGGCTTCACATCAATTGATCATGCATCAACTGTATTTACAGTTTCATCAATGATACTTATTTTTATTGGTTCTAAGAAACAATCTTTTATTTGTTTCAAAAGTAGGTAATTGAAATGCTATATTGAAATCCTAATATTACTAAAATATGAATCGAAATCTTAATACTGTACTACTAAAACATGAATTATAAAATAAGAAATAAAAAACAATAATTTTTGTAATTACACCTCTATTAAGTTATAACTTCTTTATAGTAATAAAATTAGTTAGTCCTAACATTATGACTATAGAGAGGTTTTACTATATATATATATAATCACTTATGTAATTAGTGATAAACGTCCAACAGTGATCACACATATATCACCATGCCTGGGATCACCATCTGTTTCTTTTGCACTACGATATAGGCTAGGAAACTTGCAGGGGCATTAGAAATTATCTTAATTTTAAATTAAAAGAAATATTAAAACTAATATTCAACTTGAAATAGTTGTTTGAGTCCATGATATAGGAGTTACATCCACAATAACACAAATATTAATTTTAGTTTAATTTATAAATATTATGTACGCCCCTAAGGCTTGTAGTAATATTAATCCCGCCCTACTAGTAATAAAATTATCAAAGAAACAAAACCCCTCAAGTGCTGCAACACCAAAGTGGCTTACACATTGAAGAAACTAAATGCATTTGCAACTCTAAACTGATACACCTTCATCTGCAAATATATCAGTTCTAGAAAACACATTTGCTACAAGCACAGGCTACAGAATCACAGCACCATAATTACAGACAAACAAATGTGTAATTACAAAACCATTACTCAAATATGTAATGACATTATTCAAAGTAGGACAAAACTTGTGCAAACACAAAGATGGGTTTTGTGCTCTTCTTGATAATTGAGAGGCTGCCACTGGTGACTGGCTGAAAAACTGCTTGTTTAGGTATCATGGCAGAAGAAACTGGTGACTTGTTTAGCTATCATGGCAGAAGAAACTGGTGAATTATGTATGTGTCATGATTAATCAGAGTAAATCTTTTAGTTTGAGTCTGTGAAGATGATCACGCGGCACTCAAGCAGTTCTCCCAAGTCCCATATTTTGAGCTGAAACTGCCTCCACCGCTCTGCTGAGCATATTCAGATATCACAGCACGTGCACAGACATCCCAAGTCCTTGCTATCACCGCAAGGGTCATGGGTTGAGGAAGGCTTCTCAGAGATATGCTAAACCTTGACTTTGCCTTCACCGAAAGATCTTCATATTCTTTGCTGTCAAAGCGAACAGAATATTAATCACGTACGTCCTTCCAGTTTATACTTGGCTATAAAGGATTTTTCATGCAATTCCAATATGTTTGAGAAACTTTCAATTAAAAGACACATTTGTTAGAAGAAATTGTGCCATTCGCATACCTGACTTCAACTGGAAACTTGTCTAATAATATTGGGGAGCAATTTGGGTAATTTGTTGGAACAAGCAAACGCAATGGCTGAATAGGTGACTGCATAGCAAGAAAGCACATATAAATACAGAGGAAAACATTATTTATGGGTGGGTATGTGGGACATCATGTCTGGAAGGTTTAAAAGCTTACCATTTGTGCTGAAGCATACTGTGATTTCAAGTTTGGACTGAGAGCCACTCCACTGAAAGAGCATTTGACAATGGTTCCTTCACCTCCTTCAGCAGTAGCACCAGCAACAGTTGGATCAACATCTTCATCACTGATATCAACCACCGTGTCTATAAGTAGCTGATTTATTTCCCTTATTTCCTCCAAAAGGGCATGATTAGCCTGCACCAGAAGCATATAATTTCATTATACTGAAGAGGGGTGAAAAGGCACTGACAGAAGTTAGTACAAGATCCAAAAAAAATCTTGCCTCACTTCACCAATGAGATATTTAATACATCCAACTTTATATGATAATGATGATAACGATGAGCAAAATTTGTAGAGAATGTACTACACATATTATTTCATACAGCACTTGCTAAATGTAAGTATCTGGAAATGTTTATCTTTCATTAAACAGAAAACTGTTTGAAGTTGAAAAAAAGGCTCTCTAAATACACAATAGTTGATCAATAAAATAACACAAGGCAACATATAATAGATGCAGCGCAGGGAACTATCACCAAAGAAAACAATCATGTAAACAAACAAAAGGTTTTGTATGATAAAATAAACAAATCAACTCAGCCACAAATAACCGATTTACATAGAAACTAAGAACATACCTCCATTCTTGGTCTTTTCATACTAGATGTGGCAGTTGACTCCAGGTCAGATGTCTCTGAACCATTTAACTGCTTGAAACTATCATTCATACTGCCAGCTGAAGAAACAACATTTAAAGGCATGGCACTTGTGTAGCGCCTCATTTTCCTGGGTCCAGCCATTCCATCTTGTGTGATGAAATTTCTAGCTTGCAGACGACACTTGGTCATGGCAACCAAATCCTCACCAACTGCAGCTCTAGACCCATTGCCTGGCGCTGATCCTGCTATCCTATCCATCATACTCACAACTGAGCCAATGTCACTGACAGATGCATTCAATGCTTTAGGTGACATTGATTTTACCTGAAAATTACATTTACGATTGTATCATTCAAAAATGATATAACATCTATAAAGTTGAATAATTCTTCCTTTTAATGTGAGGAAGTATAATTGAATACCAAAAAAATAAAGGGTGACAAAATTACGCTAGACTCGTTAAGAGCACCAGAAAAAATGGTGGTGCCAAGAAATAAGCTACAGCTTACCGCTTTGATTAAGCGCTCAAGAGGCTGCTCTGTAACACTGGACTTGCCTGAAACAGTAGTCAAGGCAGTACCATGAGTGCCATCAGGACCAGTAAACTCATCAAAGAAAGGTGATGCTGATATCCCAGGAGTGCCAATAGCAAGAGACGGTGCTGCTGCTTGTGTATTAGAATTCTGTTGATGTGTAATATTTCCAGCATTTGCTTGTGAGGAAATACCAGAAATTGGTTTATCAGAATCCCCAGGCATGGGCGATGGAACTAAAGGTGTTGAAGGAGATGGCACGATCGAAGGAGAGCTTGCAGATTGCAAGGGGGTTCCAGTTTTTGTGAGTGATAAAAGAAGATTCTGCTGGTCGACCTGTGGAGAAGAATGTTGTGGCATTTGAGGGGATGCAGCCTGAACTGTTTGGGGAGGAGAAATTGAAAATGTAGCTCCCGGTTTCATCTGTTGATGGGGATAGGCTGCGCGTTGGCTTGACGACAGATGTTGCTGAAAGGCCCCAGACTTAACACCCATCCCCTGTCGCATCTTCAAGTCACTCAAATCATTTATCTGATGCAGTTGTGGCATTTGATGCGTCTGCATCTGCCCAGGCAGCTGCTGCTTTGCTTGCTGGTGCAACTGCTGCTGCTGTTGCTGTTGCTGTTGCTGTTGCTGTTGCATTAGCTGTTGCTTCTGCATCATTTGCTGCTGTATGTGGCGCTGTTGCATTTGTTGTTGACGCTGTTGGGACTGCAGCATTTGTTGCTGCTCCTGTTTCATATGCTGGTGTTGTAGCATATTTGAATTTGACTGGAGGGGATTAATATTTGACGGCACCATATTAACTCCACTTTGTGATGACAAAGTATTCATGTTTGCCTGTTGAGAAGTACCCACAGAATTTTGTTGTAGAGATCCAACAGAAACCTGATGCAATGAGTTCAGTGAATTTCCTTGTCCTGAATCCAAATTGGAACCTGGCTGCAAGGAATTTGACATGTTTTGTGATGCTGTTGAGACCCCCGACATAGAAGACATAGATTTATGCTGCATATTTGTCATATTGTTCTGTGGCATTGTTCCAACCGAACCTTGCAAGTTCATTGATTGCATCTGTGGGTTCATTTGATTGTCATGGGGCTGAACTTGAGACTGTGGCTGCTGCATGGAATGCATATGAGGTGGGGGAAGTTGCCCTGGCTGCAGTGAAGAAACAGGCTTCCTGGGCCTATTTGTATTTATAAAATTGATAATCTGCTTCTCGTAGGAACCCAGCTTTTCCCTAAAATTAGGTGAGATATTACTTTTGGACACCTGTAAGAATGTTATAATACGCTCCAACATAGTCTTAAAAATTTTCAGCTTCTCAAGCTGCTCCGACTTTGGTTGTTGAGGAAGAGAATCATGCTGGCAAGCAGAGAGAACACCAGTTTACAGTGTAAGAACCAGAATCCAATAAATGGAACAAATAACAAATTAACAAAATGTTTGAGCTAACATGTTGGTAAAAAAGATATTTGTTTTCTTCCTTTAAAAAGAAAAATAAAAGATGTACTAAAAAAACAGGTGAGTTAAAATTGATTAGCAAATGACACCTAAACATGTATGCTATTAACTCCTGAGCTCAGATGAAATCCCAGTAAAGAATATGGTTAGGCATTAATTTTCAAGGAAATATACAAAAATGGATCATTTACCTGCTGCAATTTAGTAGCAATTTTGTTATACATATCATTTAATTCGGGAAAATACATGTCCTTCATGGCTTTAATCTGCAAAGTAAAAATTTTGCAAGACATCATTGTTAGATTCATCATTTTTTTCAAAAAACAATAGTAGTTGCATATACAATCATGAGTTATTGAGAATTCTTTCACGATGGTAAAATCCTTGTTCTAATTGGTTATTCCTGTTGTGCTAGCTACTACAATCATGCCATATGGACTGGTTATTTCCAATCCAAAATTTCAACCCTATAAAAACCTATGTCCACACATTCAATATGTTCTTTCAAGTATTATAAATAAACTTCATCTAAGGGACATGACAAACAAAGTACCTTTTGATAGACCTCCTCTTGCCAATCACCCCCATTTGCTTGTCCAGTCTGGGCTGTGGAATCTAGAGATGCTAACATTATAAAAATTGTGTACATGTAAGTTAAATGGGAACTAATTACAAGGAAAAATAATAGAGAGAAACATGAGTCAGACTCAGGTCACCACGACTCTAGCAAAAGGAAAATTATTATTATTCATGTACCATACAGTTAAATGATCAGAAAACACTCCAAATGAGATGACGAAATCATGCACGCCACCTAAATTTTCAATAGCATTAGCTAAATGTGACAGAGGATTGGCAGGAACACAGATATCAAATCACAGGCAAATAGGCAATTTATATGATATAAATGAACCAAGGAGTATAATGAAATAGGGTTGATGAAGGATGAGTTTTAGTTATTTTACTTTTCTTGTTTAGAGTCATAATTATTTTCCTATATTAATTAAGTTTCATAATTTAGGTTAACTTAGATTAGTTAAACTTGGTTTTCCTAATTGAATATTATTTGTTTTTCTTCTTTAACAAGGAATTTTGGTTACTAAGGAATTGTATTTATCTTATTTGAGTAGTATCAGGAATGGTCAACTATAAAAAGGGTTGTTATGTTACAAGCAATTCATGGTTTATCGATATATTTTTGAGTTCCCTTTGGGATTTCTTGTCTGTGGATTTGACATCCTTAATAAAGCTATGTGTTTCCGCTTTGTCAAGGGTTCACCAGAAAACCATTAGTACAACAAAAGATTAGAGCATCAGTTTCTCCCACAACAAGAATAAATACAAAGACAGCATTTATGCACTCTTCCCACAAGAAAGATGGCAAAACAAATTTACTGCTTCTCACAATCAACCACATATACCATAATCCCTAGACACTCAACCGGATAAATTACAAAGTCTTGAGTAAAAGAAAAGAAGGTCAAAACGAATTATAAAGATTTTCTTCCATTGCATGGTTAATCATAAGGTGTAAATGCCAAGATTAAAAGGTAAAGCTGTTGAGGCGTCAACTCACACACTTAAAAATTTAAATTCAAACCACATGTCTCACTATAAGCAACTCTAGAAGTGAAGGAACACACCAATTTGGAATATATCCAAAGACAAGATTACAGACATAGTAGTCTATATCAACATATCCATTGGTGTCAGTTGCATACATACTTGTCATTTACTGATTTTGATGAAATCAAAGAATTTTAATACAAAAATCATATTTGGGTGAGATAATGTATGTCAGTGGAAAATTTTCAAAAATTTCCAGACATGGATTTTAGACAAGAATTCAAAACCAGTTCTTTCTCATGAAATAAATAAAAACTAATAACCAAGCCAAAGAACATCTTAGATGACCAAAAAGAGCAAAAATATGTTAGTGCATGACCACAGCCATTGTAGAAGTAGTCCCTAAAGAACTTACAAATTTTTACCCAGATGAAAAATGGTCATTAGCTTAGTAAGCAATGAAACACAAATTGGAACATTCCTTGGATAAACATACTTGCAACTAATCAAATGCAAAGTCATATAATAAATCTTGTCAACCAAATTGTACTATGATAATCTTTGAAAATAAAGCACAAACAAAAAGGCACTGTTATTAAAAAGATGACCAAAAGCATATACGAAAAAACATACTTGATGATGTTTCTGGAAGGGGTCTTTGTGATTGATATAACTGCTTTGGCTGATCCATTACGCTCTGCGGTTGAAGCAAGGAACCTGATGCTTGACTTGATGCCTGAAGCCTTTGCTGCAAATTTTGTTGTAATTGATTAGGTTGTTGTTGCAATCCCAACTGCTGTTGCAACTGTGCCGGCTGTGATTGGATCTGTGACATTAATTGCTGCTGTGGCTGTTGTGACTGTGACTGCTGCCCTTGATTTGGTAATAAAGGTGCACTCTGCTGGCTTTGTTGCTGCAATGGAACCTTGGATTGTTGTAGCATATGCACAGAGTGTTGATTAGTTTGCATGCTTGAGTTTCCAGACTGATTTCCGAGTAACTGTTGCTGCTGCTGCGACTGTAATCCTGAAATATTATTTTGTGGGCCCAATTGTTGATGATGCATACTTGAGAGGTTTTGCTGAGCCAATATCTGCTGCTGCTGATGCTGTTGTTGCTGCTGCTGCTGCTGCTGCTGCTGCTGTTGTTGTTGTTGCTGCTGCTGCTGCATATTTGGAAGATTACTCTGCTGCCCTAGCAACCTCTGTTGTTGTTGCTGCTGGATATCACTAACACTATTTTGTTGGCCAATCAATTGATTCTGCTGCATGTTTGAAGCATTTGAAGGTTGCCCCATTAGCTGCTGCTGCTGCTGTTGTGGAGGCAGTGTCATTGGTGTTTGCTGTTGATGAATACCCACGGGCTGTTGTTGCTGTTGCTGTGGCCTAAGGACTGATTGTGGGTGCGGCTGAATCATGGACTGTGTTGACTGTTGAACAGACGACTGCTGGCTCTGCTGAAGACTAGAGAGAGGGGCTGATTGGATCAAGGAAGGTTGCATAACAGATGATGATTGCATACCAGATTGCTGAGAAGATTGCAACTGATTAGGCTGTAGTATGTTTGGCTGCTGCTGTTGCATGTGAGGTTGCATTAGTGAGTGTGAGAGATTTCCGTGCTGCATCTTCTGCTTCAGAAATTGTTGTTGCAACTGCTGCTGGTACATATACTGTTGTGGATTCTGGGACTGCTGTTGTTGCTGGGGGGTAAGAACCTGTTGCCTTCCTTGCATTTGCCTCTGAGAATTGGCAAAGAGATTGGAGGGCACCCCTTGCCCCATTGAAGAAACTGTGTTCTGTGAAGCACCAGATATATTTTGCATGGTGGAATTTTGGTTTACAACACTGGGGATTGGAGCCTGTGATAAACCAGAGACAGAAGGAAGAGCAGATGGCAATCCAGAAGAACCCGGAACTCCGTTTGATGGCATGTTATTCTGAATGTTCTGGGATAAAAGCTGTTGGCGTGGTTGAGACTGATTCGCTGACATTGGGACAGGAAGTGATTGCCCTTGGTTATGAACTTGGTTTTGCACGCCAGTTCCTATTTAAAATTGGAAAACCAATAGAAAATTAATTAAAAAACTTAAGAGGGAAGAACATATTGACAAAAGCAGGTAACGATTAATTAAAAGAGTCGTTTGAACACCAAGAGGAACAAAATGGCTTTTAGATGGATTTAGATTAAGAGTAGACAAGGATATCCACCATTAAAAGGGTGAAATTTCTTTTGGTTTTGGGGCGGGGGCAGAGAAGAGGAGGAAGGGAGAAGAAAATAACAGAATTTTATTTCACCTACCCCTACCCTATGGTTTGGCCAAATTACACAGCCCTCCCGATTTGGGAACTTAACAAGTCACTCTAGGGAATTAATTAACATGTGCAATTTCATACAGCCAAAGATGTTGCCCATCTTGTTATTTTTGTTATCTATACAGAATCTATGTATTCTACACAAGGAATAAACAATCAGTTATAGTGAATAATACATGTTTAATACGTTAAACTACCCTAAATCCATTGAGTGTAACATCTAGTATGGTATCTACTTAATACCTTAAGCTTTTGGTTGCATCTTGCAAATAAAAAATACTTCCAAACTTTAAAATATACATTGTTGTTTCCAGGGGTACCAACATTTTTGGGACAAGTTTGACGCACGACACCTTGTGTCCTTCTCAGAACACAAAGCTTGTCATCAATATCTAAAAGCTGTAGATTATTAATTGGATTACTATAACCGAGATGATAATTCATGCATTCATGACATGTTTGAATAGATTTAACCAACTCTACCAGCCAAGAAGCATGATGGAATAGAGCAACTTGCAAGTGAAGTTTTCAGTGTCTTAAGAGAAGAATTCTGAAGAATGTTATCACCTTGATCCGGCGGTTTGTTGCTATTACCAGCGGCATTGGGTGGCAAAGAATTAGGCATAGGATTTTGAGATTTTGACTCCATTGAAAGCATCTTCAAAGATATTTTCCGCAAATAATCTGACTGAAATTTGAGATAAATACAAAATTTCAAATCTCATAGTACTTTAAATTCCAAACTATCTCAAACGCACCAAAAAAAAAAAAAAATGACATAATGGTGCAAATGCACTATTAAACATAAAGAAACAAATAAATAAATAAAAGAAATGATCTAAAAAACTAACAAATAAGATGACAAAGGTTCAATACAGTAAGAAAATCTTCCTTGGAAAGCTCCATGGTATGATGAGAGGCAAAAGCTCCATGGTATATATATATAGCTTGATGAACATTATATAACTCCGATAAAAAATTTACCTGACTTGTTGCAGCAGTATATATCTTCTCCTCAAACCTTCCAGCAATTTTCTTGAGTTCATTCAATCCCTCTTGACCGGAAAAAGGAAGATGCCTCTTCAGTGTATCCATACTGCACAGAATAAAACATAAGTGAGTTGCTGATCATGCAAGCATTGTTCTTACCAAGAAAACCCTTACTTGGTAATCCATAATGTAATGTAACAACCGAACCATGAAAGAAATTTTTGCGAAAGCACCAACTTGAAACTAACCTTAATTTTCCGTAACTTATTTAAATAAAAACCGTATATTTCATGACAGCTTAGCCTTTCATACCAAAAAGAACCAAGGAATGTTTGTACAATCACTGTTGAGAATGAAATTTTAGTTTGTACGCTCGCAAATATTAGTAGCGAAATAGGAATATTCTTTCAAAGCAACTTGTCAAACTAACAGTCATATGCTAACTCAATGACTCAAATTATTTTCAGCTTCCTATTTATAATACAATTTAGTTTCAAACTCATAATGTTGCTGCCAGAAAAAAGAGGGTAGATATTAACCAAGTGGAGTGATCATGATCCTCCATGGAAAAAATTTGGAGTAAATAAATATCTCCTGACGTTCAAAAGAATGGACTTAATAATGACATAAGCCATGTTTATCATCACATGAGACCACATAATTCTAGAACAATAACTCCACCACGAGCAAGATGGTGACACATCAATATCTGGATTAAGACATGCCATTTTAAAATAACTTAAATCCTTTTATTTGTAGTGGAATATCTTTCACACTCCCTGGTTTCCATCTTAACTCAATACAAGTAGACATTAATGATAAGGGACTGTTAAGCAAGAAATCTCTTTTGCTATCATTGACCTGTTATTTCTCTATAGCTCAGTTACAATGGTAGTCCAAACTATATTTTTGAGACAATAATGTATTCTCATGTAGTAACATTATTAAAAATGAAGTAGTAGTCCAGGATGACAGAATGCATTAAACCCTATCAGATGAATTTGGCACCCAAGTTTTATATTCGTAATCCACAGACCGGCCCCCTATTTAATAGCAGGGAGAAAAAGAAAAAAAGGCACTTACATCTTGTTGACAATTCTTTGTCGTGAATCAGGCTGCAAGTGATTTCTCCAATCACCAGTGTCCATGACAGGTTCTCCGCCTTGAGAAGTAGGCCTCCAATTATTGGTATCCATCAAATTCTAACCTAAAAACAAAGTAGCAAACACTACATAAAAATTAAAATCCATTACAAAATAAACCTGCAAAGAAGAAAAAGAACAAATAAAAAAGAAAAGAACGTTCATTTTGGGCAAGTAGACGTCAAAAGTGATTCTTAGGATTAGAAATACATTTTATGCTTCTCCACTTAACAGCAAACCACTTTAAAAGGGATCCACTATTTCCTAATACATAATTATGCAAACAAAAACAAATTACACAGCCCTTCAGTTCAAAATAGTGAGTTATGGACAACCAAACCAAGCACAGCCCAAAATCTAATTTTTGGTCAATGTCAGCCCATTCCGAACCACCACCACCATAGTCGGTCCACCCTACAAAGCAACACCAAAAGCCAGCCAAACAACCACCACCACCCATTCCAAACCAACACCATAGTTGGCCAAACCACTCCATTCCAAACCCACCCCATCCAAACTACCATCAGAATCAACCTACTCTACAAAGCAACACCCACAAGCCCCCACCCATCTCTCCAAAAACAACACCCACCATGAAGCAAATCAACCCAACACAAGAAATGTCGAAAACCAATTAAATCAAACAAACACTCCACCAGAACTCTCAAAAACCAATCAATTATTTGAATCAATCATCAAAATTACCCAATTCACCAAAAATCGCGAAGGAGAACACTAACCTCACTGCCAGCGAACGACGACTGAACGGTTGAAGGGGATAGGGGGGTTTTGAAGTGCTAGAGCCGCTGGTTGCAGTGGTGGTGACCAATTTGATTTTTGGTCATCGGAAATGGCCAGAATTTGGCGAAGAATGATCGAATCCTAACCCTAACAACATCGACGAAAGGTGAGTGATCGGTTGAAGGGGATATGGGGGGTTTTTGAAGAGCTGGAGCTACTGGTTGCAGTGGTGGTGACCAATTTGATTTTGGTAGCCAGAAACAGTAAGAATTTGACAAAGAATGATTGAATCCTAACCCTAACAACACCGGCAAACGACGATTGAACGGTTTAAGGGGATACGGTGGTTTTGAAGAGCTGGAGCCGCTGGTTGCAGTGGTGGTGACCAATTCGATTTTGATTGCCGAAAATGGCCAAAATCCGATGAAGAACAACTGAATCCTAACCTTGAATTTTGCTAATCCTCGGGTGGGAAAAAGTCGTTTACTCTTTATTTATGTAAAATAGGGTACTGTTACTGCAGTAACATTACCCGTTAAAGGTGTTGATAATTTAATTTCATAGGGTTTCGCTGTATACTTGTATTGGCCCAATCACATTGGACCCCTATCTTTTGCAAAAAAGTTAATTGCCACCCTACGTTGTCATATTGTTATCAATGAAGTATGTTATATGGTGTAATGACTAAACTAACCCTAAAGCATTTACTCTTGAAATTTTAAGATATTTCCTAGTTAACAATGACAAAGTAATCAAAATCTTTAATACTATGAAAATTTATCTAGGATCTAAATCTTTTCCAATTTCACATACAATGAATAAAAAATATTCAATATAATCAAACTCCAAATTCTTTTTAAAACAAACTATCATTCTGCAAAAAATAGTGTGAGAAAATGTAATTCAGCTGTGTTGAATTTGATTCTATAATCTTGGTCTAATAAAGTTAACCAATTTAGGGGCTATGATAATGGGTTGGTGTGAAATAACTCGTCTAAGGATTAGTTGAGGTGAACCTAAGTTAGTTTAGACATCTCAATTATTAAAAAAAAAATAAAAAATTAACCAATTTATTATTAAAGTTAAAACTTAGATTGGTCTAATAAAATTTTATTTTTATATATTATTATTATTATTTCAAATATTATAGAATTATCGATTAAATAAAAACTCTATGACTGGATAGTAAATACCAATTTCCTTTCATTTTAGATTCACATCAATATAATGTTATTTAAATTAAAAATAATTTAGAATTTTGTGTAATATGGACAGATGAGATGGGTGGGTGAAAATTGTTACAAATGGAAGTCCAGACTTAAGAGTTGGCAACATGCAACTGATTAAGACTCTAATCAATCAATCAATCAATCATTCATTAAACTTATGATTCTTTTAACTCCTATTGGCCCTTTAACCTTCAAATTTCAACAACTTTTTAAAACCCAATTTCCTTAACACGCTAACGAGTTGACATTATTATTATTATAGAATTATTAATACCATAACTTGTATTTATTCACTTGAAAACAATTTCAAAAACCACTTTTGAAAAAGTATCTATTAGTGGTATTCCTGGAAGCAATCCTGATACTTTCCGACCAAACAAAGTTTTCCACACATTACTTTTATAAAAGTATTTTTGGATATTATTTTTAAGTGCTTTCAATAGTTTAAAAGCACTTCCAAATAAAATCACTTCTAAACAAATAATTAAAATAGGGTAAAACTTGTACAATTCACATCAAATACCAATTCAAAACACCCTAAAGTCAAATTATTCTCCCTGTTGAAAAATAAGTACTTGACGATAATGAAAAAAAAAATCATAAGAATGTGTTGCTGGAATTCTTTCACAATGTTACTTTTTTATTTTTGATGACCCGGATGTTCGGATCAGCATCCGCGCACCTCAACTATCCCTGAGCCAACCCCTCAGGGTGTCATAATGTTATATTCATAGTTTCTAATTGACTGTATCTTCGATATTTTATCCTAAGTAAACTTCAGCAAGGAACTTGACAAAAAACCTTTTGGTAGACCTTCTCTTGCCAATCACCCGCATTTGCTTGTCTTGCCTGGACTGTGCAAGCCAAAGAAGCTTAACTGATCAACATTGGGTAAACTTGAGTTAAATGGGAATTTGTACCAAGGACAATTAACTCATACCATGAATCAGGCTCTGCATTACCCCAGCAATAAGAAAATTATACTTATACACGTGGCATAGAGTTCAATGATCAAAGAACACTCCAAATGAAATGAACAATCATGCAATAAAAAGGAAATTCCAATACTATAAGAAAAACTGCGATCGCATATGCAAATTTTTACAGTGTAATTGACAGCAATATAGAAAACAAATCGCAGGCAAGTATAAAGTTCATACGAGATAAAGGAACCACAACAGTACAGAAACAAAGAATACACAAAATATTAGAGCAAGATTTATCTGTTGCTGCAGTTTTGGAAGATTACTCTTCTGTCCTAGCAACCGCTGGTGTAGTTGCTGCTCAATATCTCCAACACTATATTGTTGGCCAATCAACTGATTCTGCAGCATGTTTGCAGCGTTTGAAAGTTGCCCCATTAGCTGCTGCTGCTGCTGTTTTTGTGAAGGCATCATTGACGGCAGTGTTATAGGTGCTGCTGGTTTTGTGAAGGCAGCTTTTGACGACATATGCTGTTGTGGGTTCTGGGATTGGTGTTGTTGCAGCTGGGGAAGAACCTGTAGCATTGGTTGCATTTCCCTCTGAGAATTGGCAAAGAGATTGGAGGGCACCCCTTGCCCCATTGAAGGTAATGTGTTTTGTGAAACACCAGATATATTTTGCATGGTGGAATTTTGGTTTACAACACTGGGGATTGGAGTCTTTGTTAAACCATAGACAGAAGGAAGCAAAAATGTCAATCCAGAAGAACCCGGAAGTCCAGTTGATGTCATGTTATTCTGAACGTACTGGGAGAACAGCTGTTGGCATGGCTGAGACTGATTAGCTGACAATGGGGTAGGAAGTGATTGCCCTTGGTTATGAACTTGGTTTTGCATGCCAGTCCCTATTTAAAATAGGAAAACCAAAGAAAGAATAAGATATACCAACCAACTTAAGAGGGATAAAACATCCCAGAAACATAACCATGAAAGCAGGTAAAGATATACCAACCATGCTGCAGCCTAAGGACTGATTGTGGGCGCGGCTGCATCATGGACTGTGTCCACTGTTGAACAGAAGTCTGCTGGTTCTGCTGAAGACTAGAGACAGGGGCTGATTGGATCAAGGAAGGTTGCATAACAGATGATGATTGCATACTAGATTGCTGAGAAGATTGTAACTGATTAGGCCGTAGTATGTTTGGCTGCTGCTGTTGCGTTAGTGAGTGTGAGAGATTTCCGTGCAGCATCTTCTGCTTCAGAAATTGTTGTTGCAACTGCTGCTGGTACATATACTGTTGTGGATTCTGGGACTGCTGTTGTTGCTGGGGGGTAAGAACCTGTTGCCTTCCTTGCATTTGCCTCTGAGAATTGGCAAAGAGATTGGAGGGCACCCCTTGCCCCATTGAAGAAACTGTGTTCTGTGAAGCACCAGATATATTTTGCATGGTGGAATTTTGGTTTACAACACTGGGGATTGGAGCCTGTGATAAACCAGAGACAGAAGGAAGAGCAGATGGCAATCCAGAAGAACCCGGAACTCCGTTTGATGGCATGTTATTCTGAATGTTCTGGGATAAAAGCTGTTTGGCGTGGTTGAGACTGATTCGCTGACATTGGGACAGGAAGTGATTGCCCTTGGTTATGAACTTGGTTTTGCACGCCAGTTCCTATTTAAAATTGGAAAACCAATAGAAAATTAATTAAAAAACTTAAGAGGGGAGAACATATTGACAAAAGCAGGTAACGATTAATTAAAAGAGTCAGATTTAGATTAAGAGTAGACTAGGAAATCCACCATTAAAAGGGTGGGATTTCTTTTGGTTTTGGGGCGGGGGCAGAGAAGAGGAGGAAGGGAGAAGAAAATAACAGAATTTTATTTCACCTACCGATTTGGGAACTTAACAAATCACTCTAGGGAATTATTTATCTTTTTAAATGGCATGTGCAATTTCATACAGCCAAAGATGTTGCCCATCTTGTTATTTTTGTTATCAAAACAGAATCTACTGTATTCTACACAAGGAATAAACAATCAGTTATAGTGAATAATACATGTTTAATATGTTAAACTACCCTAAATCCATTGAGTGTAATATCTAGTATGGTATCTACCTAACACCTTAAGCTTTTGGTTGCATTTTGCCAATAAAAAGTACTTCCAAACTTTAAAATACACACTG